CTGACACAAGGAAGCAGAGTGGTTGAGGAGGATGTGAAAGTGGCTCCAGGGCTTAGGACCAGACAAGGGTTAGGTGGGAAGAAACTGCTGGAGGTCTCTGTCCACTCCTCACTCCAAACAGGGCCACCCTCGCAGCCATGTCACATTGTGTGGGGCTTCATCCAGGCAAGTGTTAACCATCTCCAGAGACGCAGGCAGCATATCTTCTGCTACAGACTTTGCTTTTCCCTCTGCAGAATGTCTCTTAGGTTGCAGGGGGGAGAACTCGATGACATCCATGATGTAAAAGCTGTGTTGCTTCTGTTGGCAACGCAATAGAGTCTCCAGAAGTTACTCGTGGGAGAATTACCTTCCTCCTTTCCTGCAAATACTGGGCATTGTTTCACAAAGGAAGCATGCCCAGAAACGCAACCAGACATATGGTTGCTAAGGCTGCAGTGTTACAGGGCAAGAAAGATCCTCAAGCTAGGAGATAGTTTGAAGTACTAATGGCACCAAAGTGCACCCTGCTTCTACTGACGTCTTCCTTAGCATCTGCAAATCTCAGGTCCCTTTTGGTCCCTGACCTGTCTCTGTCAATGGCTGATGAGACTTTTCTTTTGATCTCTCCTCACAGATTTGTAAAACCCAGGAGTCCAAGGTGGCTGCTTCGTACTGCAGCCCTGCAGTACCAGTCCACTTCAACATCCAGCAGGACTGTGGGCATTTTGTGGCCTCTGTCCCCTCCAGTATGCTGCTGGCCTCAGATGTGGGGAAAAGCATGCCTGGGGATGGCTTCCATCCCTCCCGCACTGCCAGCGAGCACGACTGTGTGGTGGTCATCACCCGGGAGGTGCCGAGCCAGACCACTGCTGACTTTGTGAGGGACTCGGTGATGTTGCACCAAGCCAAGCCCGAGCTGTATGAACGTCGCGTTTGCTTTTTGCTTCTCCAGCTCTGCAATGGCCTGGAGCATCTCAAAGAGCACGGTATCATCCATCGTGACCTGTGCCTGGAGAACCTCCTGCTTGTTCCCTGCAAGCCTCCCATGAGCTGTGTGAAAGCCAAAGATGACAAACACTTACCCCGCCTCATCATCAGCAATTTTTTGAAAGCCAAACAGAAGCCAGGAACTGGAGACTCCAAACTGAAGAAGAGTCAGGCCCGGCTGGCCCCGGAGATTGTGTCGGCTTCTCAGTATAAGAAGTTTGACGAGTTTCAGACTGGTATTCTCATCTACGAGCTGCTGCACCAGCCCAACCCCTTTGAGGAGAAGGTGCACCTCAGGGAGCAGGAGTATAGCCCTGACGACCTCCCTGCTCTGCCCAGCCTGTCCATCTACTCCCGGGGGCTCCAGCAGCTGGCCCACCTGCTACTGGAAGCGGATCCCATCAAGCGTGTGCGGATCACTGAGGCCAAGCGGATGCTCCAGTGTCTGCTCTGGGGGCCCCGGAAAGACCTCACTGAGCAGCCTCTCAGCCACGAGGAAGCCCTCCGCCGGGTGCTTCAGAACTGGGTGGACATGAAGCGTGCCCTGCTCATGATGAAGTTTGCAGAGAGGGCTGTGGACACAGAGCGGAGCATTGAACTGGAGGACTGGCTGTGCTGCCAGTACTTAGCGTCTGCTGAGCCGGCCTCCCTCTCACACACGTTAAAACTGCTGCAGCTGCTCTGACCTTGGAAGTGTCTGGGAGGCAGCTGAGGGCTCCTGGTTGCCTTGCGGCTAAAGGTGCACAGCCCCTTTGTACGCGAGAGGCTTGAATCTCGGCTGCAAATACACATTCAGCTCCTGCCCTGCACTTCGATCAGAGTGCACAAGACGTGTTTAGTACCCTCAGCACTGTCAATTTGCAAGCAGGCAAAACTGGGGACCTACCCCTCTTTTGGGGGATTTTTTTTTTTTTTTTTTGGTATGGTATGGTAAGTCTGTGGACTAATAAACTCCTGCCTGCGTGTGTGCATGTTTCTAATGAACGCAATGTACTTGAGTTGATTTCTGTGCCTGTGGGACAGTCCTTTGATCCCCATCCCCACTAAAGCATCAGAGCCTTTTTGCCCGGGAACACCACCCCTCTCCAGAGTGGGCGGCAGGGATGAACTGTTGGTTGCTTCTCCTGGGGAGCAAGAGCAATTCACATACTGCTCCTTTGCAAGGAAGAACCAGGAGTGGCTTTCAAATTCACATCTTGCGTGGGTTTTGGCATCCTTTTTGCTTCTCACTTTAAAAACAAAAATTACTGCTTGTTTCTGTGTATCAGGTATATTTTCCCCTGTGGGCAATTCAATATCAGCTGCCTATTACCTTTGTTAGATACTAATGCAGCATGGCTTTCCTGTCTAGTGGTGCAGCCACACAGGCTGTTGACTGTGAAAGGGTGAGAGAGAGCCCAGGATGGGTCTGTTTGAGGATGATGCTGCATGCTGGGAATTACCCCTTGTAAAGTTAATGAAATGGAAAATCCCCAATTCACCTCCAAGGCCTTGGGGGGGAAGTCAGGGCCAGGTTGCTTTGCTTTCCCCATCCCTCCAGCTCCCTCCCTTCACCTGGTAATTCACCTGTCCCTTGTGTCTAGCATTTATTTAATCCCTTTATCGAGAGATGAGCTGGCATGTGAAAGCCCAGGGCCACTTGCCTGAGGTCTGGGATGGTCTTATTGCTGCTGGTGTTTGAATTAGAAACGCATAGGGCTGGGTGTACTGTGGACATGCTCCTCCAACAGATGCGATGCCAGAGCAGCACGACGGAAGAGGGAGAAGCTGGCCTGGCCTCCCTCCAGCCCCTTTTCCTCCATCCAGACACATAGCAGCCACTCAGCTTGGTAGACGGGCTATGCTGCTGCTCAGAAAAAAATGGGCTTTCCAAAAGGTTGTGGGCTGCTTTTACTCTTCCACCCCAACACGTGGCAGAAATGAGCTGCCCTGCATCTGGCACCAGTTCTGCAGCCCTTGGAGAAGAGGTAAGTTTGGGACACATGGAGAGAGCCCAGCGTCAGCTTAGCTGACACAGGATGTCACTCCCAGCTCAAAACAGGGAGAAATTAATGAGCACTTTCCTCCAGCCTTGATTCACCTCTAGATCCAGCCTGCTTTCTTGGGGGAATTTTAATTCCCCCAGTTTTTTGACACTTCATACACTTTCTGTGAATCTTTTCCAGGCTTTTTTTTTTTTTTTAATCTGTTTGGCTATGGTTGCTGTTGATGGGAGGGGATGGTTCCTTGGCTGGGCACCCATTTGCAATGAATTTCCCCTGATCCCCTTAGGGAGGAGGCCATGCACGTCCCTGCCTGCTGAAAGAATGTGGGATGGCTCCAACTGCGGCCGTCGGGAATTTTTTTCATACACTGGCTTTCTTGTGTCTGACTCTTGGGTCCACTTCCTTCCAACATAGGTGGCAGGAGCCTTCTGGCTTGGGAACCACTGTCCTGTGGACCATTCTGGACACATTGCGCTGGAAAGTCTGGCCCTGGCTTGCTGCATGTGGTCTCGCATGGGCCAGCAGAGTGATGAAACAGCTGGAGAACATGCCTGAAGGAGCCCAGCTTGTTTTTCAGAGATCAGACTCAGTTTCTAAGCATGGATATAGGGAATAAGTTGGAGGCAATGCTGCAGGACAGCACTGAAGGAGGCAGGGCCTGGCCACGACAAATCCAAGCTGTGCTGGCAAAAGGGACATTATATGTGGGTCAAGCGGCTTGCAAGGCTTGGGTTGGGTACTCAGTGAGACTCAAGAAGTAGCCCAACATCTAATCAACCCACATAAAACAAGGTTGGATTCATTTTTCATGTTTAGTTTCAATTTAGTGACAAACACTGATAGAGGTATTGGCACAGGGCCTGCACAGTGTGGGATGTTAACCTGATCAAAATGCTCTCTTTGAGTTTGGGCACTTGAAACTGGTTCTGGTGTTGGTCCCAGTACCCTGCAGCAGCATGCCCAGCAGACAAGAGACCAACAATAGTCTTGTAGCATTTTCAGCTATATTATTTTAAGATTTGGTGGGTAGCTTCTCGCTCTCATATAAACAGAAACTCTTAGCTCGATGCTTTCCTGATACCTTCCCCTGTGGTAGCTCATGCTTCTTCTCCAGTCTGAACAGTCCTAGGCTTTTGGGTCCTACACCAATGCATGAACTGGAGAAGTGCATTAGGGTTTCTGCTGTGTATCTTTGTGGGGAAAGCAACACCTAAGCCTTGGTTGAATGCCACAGCAGAGTCTGAGGACTTTGCTGGCTTACTCCCCCTTGCCTGTGCTGTCCTCAGCATACCATGGGCAGTAGCCCTCCTTTTCCTAGCAGGCGTTCTTGCCCCCTTGCCCAGGATCATCTGCAAGAATGGTGGAGGGGATGGTTCATCTCCCTCTTCACTGTGTGGCAGGGAAAACAGCTGACTGTGCCCTGGAGGTCAAGCATGTCACCCACTTGGTGCAGGGCAGGTATTGTAGGCATTGGCTAATTGGGAACACAGTTTGGAGTCTACAAGCCACAGGGACAGTGCTGAGGGGCAACTGCTGGAGGAGAACTGCAGACCTGTGCATCTTGGTAGTACTGAGGAAAGGGGTGTTTGTTGTTTTGTGCTGGCCCAGAAAGACTGCCAGCCCCTTTCCCTGTGCCCAGGCTCCCAGTGGTTGGTACACACAAGAAAGGTGGCAAGGCAGCTCTCTGCCAGTGCCTGCTATCGCCGTGGAGGACAGACTCCCAGGTGCTGGACATAGTTGTGGCACAGATGAGTTTGGTGGGGAGGCTGTGTGTTTCCTACATGAGATGAAGCTGAGACCCAAAGCCCCAAGACAAACATTGGGCAGGCAGTGCTGCTAGAAGCCCTCTTGCCCAGTGATCTTGTGACCTTGCCTCCCTGCTTCAAAGCATCCCTCAAAGCTGGGGGATATCTCAGGAGCAAAAGCCAACCTGGTTCTCCAGAGACGCTGTTATATGATATTGCTTTGCCATTGCACTTCTTACCCTGCGTGCTCGTGTGTGCAGGGATATACCCCACCGGCCTCACAAGTTAGCCCAGGACAGGCTCAGTTCTGCTTCAGCTTCTCGGCAAGCAGCAGCAGCAGCACGAGGCCATAGGAGAGGGGAAGGATGCTGTTGCAGGAAGCCCACAGCAGGCAGAGTGTAGAGAAATTCTCGGTTTCCACAGCCACCAGGATGTAGGCAACGATGATCTGCGTGAAGACCCAGGTTATGCCACGGTAGAGGAGCTTCACACCCTGGGAGGTGGCGCGGGCGCTGAGGAAGGGATGGATGCGGTAGTCAGCCTCCACCATGACAGCCCAGCACAAGAAACCAAAGACCTGCCCAGGCCGGAGGCCGTGCCACCAGGCAGAGAAGGCAAAGGTGGCTAGGAGCGGCTGGACCGGGCAACGCTGGAAGACAAGTCTCCTCAACCAGCGGGATGTGCTCTTGTTCCAGGTTCGGGAGAAGACGGCCAAGCGGTGGGTGGTCTCCAGTGTCCACAGGTCATGGAGGGAAAGGTCTCCCTCGCCTGCCTCTGGCCCGAATCCCGCCACCTCGAGGAGGGCCTCATCCAGCACCCAGTGCATATAGTAGGCCAGCCTGAGGAGCAGGGCCCGTGCCCAGAGGCAGGGCGAGCGCGCGGCT